CAAGCGCTGCCGGGGATGGCGAAGACTCGTCCTGGTCTGGAGGCGCGCCCCCGCCAGCCGTGCCCGGGGCGTCACGCAGAAGCAGCTGCTGGGGGTTTCCGGCATGCCGAAAAGGAAGGTGGTGCGGATGCCCAGGAGGAGGCCGGGGGTCCGCTTCTGAGTAAGGGGCGATGGGTGGGAAGGCCCCGGCGAGAGAGGCGAGGGTAGCAGGACCGGGAAGGAGCGGTAGCGGGGCAGGAGCAACTTCCAGCCGGCCGCAGAGATAGGCGCTCGGTGCGTCGAGCCGAGGTAGGTGGCGCAGGTTAAATGAAGGGTAGCCTCGCTCGGGGCCTGCGCATCCACAGCCGAGCGCAGAGGTGAAGGAACCGGGGTCGGCGTAGCAGCACGGGGAGGGATTGCAATTGCTGGAGCCGATGCGGTGAAAATGACTTGGTTCTGCTAATCTCCCTTTAATATTTCATCATCGCTCAGCCAGCATTGCTCTGCCTGTGTACAGAAGCAGTCATCCACCAGCGAGGCAGGCTGAGCTGCATTTATTTTCTTGTTTAATCTCTAAATTGCTTAGCCTCTTCCTTGGGCTGCCCTCCTAAAACAAGAAATAAAAAGCAGCTGTATGTCTTCAAACAGAATTTAAAACCTCCCACCCACCTAGTCTCTTAAGAAGAGGATTGATTACATGTTTAGAAAGGCAAATCATCCCCCCCCACCAGAAGCCTTGAGGAACTGAGCCCTCTAATGCCCTCTGCCCTTTTCCCAGAGAAAGCAGCTGTCCTGTGAAGGATGTGTGCGTGTGGATTGAAAGTCCGCCTGTTCATTGAGGCACAAGGGCTGGTGTGTTTGGATCTGCTTCTACTCTTAAAATCGGAGCTCTGTTTTGATAGTTGCAGGAAGGAACTACTGTTCCCTCCCCCTCCTTTCCTATTTTGTACACAGATCTCCCTTGTCACCAGGAATATGGCCATAGAGGGAGCAGATCAGTCACTCTTTCAAAGCCAAATGCATCTCTGGGGATTGTTCTAGAAACTGAATATGGACAGAATAGCCTAGTCGGACAGAATAGCCTAGTCAGGCAGGCAAAGAGGAGAATAACAATCAGCAAACGAGATGTTTATGGTTGTGCTTGAAAATGTTATAGGTAGTGTTCCTAGAAGTAATTCTACTCTTATGGACAATGGGAGCTTGCATCTTGAGTTTTTCACCTCTTCCCCTTCCCTTCACCATTTTTAATGTGTTTTTCTATGGCCTAGTGTACTCAATTATTCTGTTTCCTGATGAAGTTCAAGATATCCTAATTTTTGAATAGAGTTAAAGTGTTCATAGTAAAACTTATTTTGATTGAAGTAGAGGGCTTAAATCTGAGTAATAAAGACCCTCAGGTTCATGCTGAAAGAGAACTCTTAAAATAGGTTAATTAGAGATGCTGCTAGTGATGAAAGTAGTTGAAAAGTAAGATTCTTTCTTCGACAAAGTAGAGACATTCTTTATAATCTCTGATTACAGTGGGTATTTGTGGGAGGCCCAAAGAACTGATTTGTACTCAGAATGAGAAGAGAAAGAGGGCACTGCTTCATGCAAGGGCACAGAAATTCCAGGTAGGTCCCTGAGGAATTGAGAGTATTTTAGGCTAGAATTCTCTATGAAATAGAGATAGTCACACAGGCAGTCTGGTATTTACTGCTCAAGTAAATACTTATTCTGCTTTCTGTCCTTAAAGAGTTAACTGGCTAAACTGGTTGAACAAGGCTGCATCTTGGAGGCTGGGCTTGGGGACTGCCCTGTCTTTTGAACCTTAAGCATTAGGAACAAGATTAGAACAGTGTATTGTGGCTGCTGCATGTGCATTTGTGCTCAGTTGTTACGCATAGTTGCATGTCGAGTTCAGTTCTCATGGCAAAGGGACATTAAGTGTTT